ACTCGGTTAACAAAATTACAAATGGCCCAAAGGTTGAAGTGACTGGAATGCGTTTACCCTTTTGTGCATTTGTCCTCTACAGAAGTTAGCTCAATCACTCTGGATTTTCAAAGACACACATTTGGTTGGAGCTGAGAAACCAGTGAAAAGTTAAACAATTTCACTGTGGCCTCTCCTAACTTCCCCAACACAAAGGGCAGATGTTTTATTTCAGTGTCATCTTATCAATTGGATAATCTGAAGTCATTTTCAAGATGTGTGTGGCATGGCCTTGGATATGTGAAACAGTGGGACAGAGAAGGGAAAAGTGAGGGAATCCAGAGTTGAAGGAATCTGTGTTTGAAAACTGCAGAGTCCAGTGAAATAAGCCTTGGATCATGCTGGGGAGACAAAAATGACAACTTATGCATTGAGATGAACCTTTGTTTGGAAAGCTCTCGCTTTCCTAGAGGCTGGCAACTCCTGCTGGTTGATAAGGCTCTAAACGCTTGCTTCTTGGTAACTCTTCCAAAAGGAGAAAAGCCTAGAAAGGGGCTGTGTTCCCAGCAGACACCTTCGCAGGCCTGGCTCCTGTGATCTGCCTCATCTCAGGTCTGTGGAATCCTTGTGGTTAGTTGGAAGTTAACAGGGCATGCATATTAAAGCCCAAAACGCTTACAAATGTAAATAAGGGTAGATTGATTAGGAACAACATTATCGCTAGGAATGTGGCACTCGTTTGCATCACCTAGGAGGCAAATTGGGGGCAGCCTCAGCCCTGACCACCCACGTCGAGCAGGCTTTTACATTGGCTCCTCTTCCCTTTCTTAAAACGTTACAGAAACAAGGCCAATTAGATCCTCAAAGTAATTCATCTCTGTGTATGAAAAAAGCAGACCACAGGGGAAGAGGCGGGTGGGGGGTGGGGAGATTAAGAGTGCTTGTTAGAGCGAGGCTGGGGATTGCGTCCTGGAACCAATGGGTAGAATTTACAGGCCTGGACCATTGTCTGAGATGCTGAAAAGTTAACCTATCAAACAGCGGGGGAGGGGGCTCAGGGCGCTGAAAACCTAGGGGATCAATGTTCAAAACGTTTAGGAATTAAGTCAAACGAGCCCGAGTGGAAAGAGCTTTGCTATTGAAATGATGCACACGGAGCAGGAAGCAGGAGGAGGGAATCTGCAGCTGCGTGCGGAAATGCAGAACCCTTACGTGTACACGGCCTGTAATTTCATTCCAGAGTTCCATAATCCAAATCACTATACTGACACTACAGTAAATAGAAGACAAAACTAGGAGGAAAAACTAGTACTTTGATCTAAAACATTGTAAAGAAATTCGAAAAGACAAACCTAGCAACGTGTTTATGGCTACATAGTTACTTGCCATACAAGTAACCAAGGCTGACATTTAAAGTAGGGCTACCCTACTCCCGCCCCCCACCCCAGTCTTTAGAAAACAATTCCAGCAGTAAGCATTAAACAGTTTGACTTGAAATGTCTGCAGAAACGCTCGGAGAAAGCTCATACAGTAAGCCACCTTCTGCTTCATGCTATTTGTCAAACATCATAAAGACTAGGATTTTACTCCCAAGGTTAAAATAGCTATGTGTCGAGCCCAGTCTTCCCGTGCTGTTAAACGCAGTGTCATTTTCACCGCACCGTGCTTGCGTTCCCTTCTGGGTTTTAGCAGCTCTTCCCAGAGTCGCTCAACAATCACGTGCTCCTTTAGGAGTTAGGAGTTTTGAATTTCCGCGCTGGCCTGAGTTCTCAGGTCCCCTTGATCGCGTGAAACCACCGCCCCCCCCCCCCCCCGCCTCAAACGCTTCTACCCTCTTTGTCTCTCTTTACTCCCCAGGACACCCTAACCCGCTCCAGGAACCGCACGCACAGTTTTGGGGGTTCAGGATTCAGGGAGCAAGGCCTCTCAATGGAACCAGAAAAAAAGAGAAAGCTAGAGGGAAGGTGGCGAGGCTAGGAAGAGAGGGACGAGATGGAGGAAGAAGGGCAAGCGGAAAGAGCCAGGGGAAAGGATCAAGGGAAGAAGCAGGGATTGCGGGACCGCCCGAGAGGAAGGAAGGGGGAGGGGAGGGCTGGCGGACGGACCCCCTGCGGGAGCCGCGTGCACCGCCCCCGGTGGCCCGCTCGCCCCTCCGCAGCCCCTAGCGGGCCCGAGCCGCCGGCGCGGGGCTGCAGAATGGGAAGAGCCCCGTGCGCGCAGCCATTGGCCGGCGGCGGGGACGCCGCGCGCGCATTGGGCAGCGGAAGGGGGCCGGGCCGCCTCCAGGAATGTACTACGGCGCGGCCCGCACGTCCGTCCGCGCCGCGCCGGCCTGGGGAGCGCGCCTCGCTCGGGCCTCGGGGAGGCCGCGCTGCAAGCGGGGAGCCCGCCTGGGCGCGGACCCGGAACTCCGAGCTTCCTACCTGCTGCTCCTCTCGGGCCGCGCGGGCGCGGAGAGGTCCGGGGCCCTCCCCACCCCACGCCACCCCCCACCGCCAGGCGCGAGCGTGCGCGCATGCGGGCGCACCCTGGCCCGCGCGCGCGCGCACGAGCCTCCCGGCGCGGGGGTCACGTGGCTGCGCGGGCTCCGCCTTCTTCCCCCCCCGCTCCTCCCCCTTTCCCTCCATCTGGGTTTCTTTCTTTCCTTTCTTTCTTCTTTTTTTTTTTTTCAATGAACACACACCGTGTGCATCTTAAAGCCACACTGCCCCATTTCACGACTTCAGTCTCTACTGCGGGTGTCTCTGCAGTTCAATTCAGTAAAGAAAAAAAAAAAAGGAAAAGGAAAATGAAGCAGAATACAGGGTTTCTGGGTCTGGTATCTACTGCAGGGAGGAACTTAACTCGAAAGTGTAAGAGAAATATTCCGCTTTACAGAAAGTGGTTTATCTTATTTTATTTTAAATCTTCCTCAAATAAAAAGCGTAGAAACCTGCTATGTAGAGTTTAATTTCTCTCTGGCCCCAAGGTCCACCCCTGAAAGGTCGCGTGTTTTCTTCCCCAACGGAAAGCGAATCCCCGGGATGCCTTGGTGACAGTGGACGCAATGTCGGGGACAAATCTTCGCGATCTGCGCATGATTTGTTTCGAATGAACCCATATCAAAGCCTTTATTCTCCCCTACGTCACGCTATTATCACATATAACATAAATGCATACCGATTTTGGTTAAAAAATTATAAAACTGATTTTATAAAACTGACTTTCTATTAAGGATGTGATTAATCAGAAAGGCCCAAATGAACTCAAAACAATCATGCAAGCTTTCTCAAGAAAACAATTGCATTTCTTTGGGTTGGTAAAAGGATCCTGTTGCTTCTTTGAATTAAAGATTCAAATTTTAAAAAAAAGCGCCTCTCTGCCTCCATGAGATTGCTTCGGTGCCTGGATTCCACGTTTATAGGACACAACTGCGCTGTCGTTTTCTTTGGGTGGGGGGTGGGGGGTACGGTGAGATGGATTTTCAGAAAGGGTGGCTTTTCCTCAACGTCCTTGCTTTCCCCTTTAACTTCCCATTTTGTTTATCTTAATGCAAGGCGTTGTTCCCTGCGAGAGCCCAAGTCTTGCCTTTAGTTATAAAAGAAAAGAGGAGGAAAAAAAAAAAAAATCTGGCACACACTGACGCACTATCCACCACCCTGTCATTATTGGTGCAGGCCTGGGAATTCAAGCCGGACCTCCCAGATTCGCTGCAGCTCGAGGCCAAGGTGCCTCTGAAAGGGTTTTCTTTGAGGAATTTCAGAAGTTGTTTAAGCGCTTTTTCAAAAAAAAAAAAAAATTATTACATATCTCCCGGTGTCTATCACGAAGCAAATGCTCGTGTGTGTGTGTGTGTGTGTGTGTGTGTGTGTGTGTGTGGTGGGTGCGCGCGCGCGCGTGCGCGTGTGCGCGCAAAAGGCGTCTCACAAAAAAAAAAAAAAAAAGACACTGTTGAAAAGGAATAAGAAAGAAAGGGGGGGGAGCATTCCTTAATGGAAGTATTGCATGCGAGAAGGTTGGCGCTCTCGGAGGCTCCCCCCCGACGCTGGGGATGCACACACTGGGGTTGCCTACCTGGGTGGTCTCTCTACTTTGGTGAGCTGTTGCTAAGCAGCTAATAATAGTCATGTTTGCTGAGTAATTTCTGCCCTCCGCGAGCCAATCGCGTCGCAGAAATCCAAGCCATCTGACAGCCCCGGGGGCGGGAGCTCCAGCCTTGCCTTTTTCTCTTTCGCTCGCTCTCTCCCCCTCCACCCCTCCCCTCCTCCTCCTCCTCCTCCTCTTTCTCCAAATGGAGAGAGTTCTTTTTTTTCTTCTTCCATCTCATCTATTGAATCAAGGAGCTGCTGCGGCCGCTGCCCGCTGCACACACACACAGCGGAGTCCCCAGGTCCCGGGAGCGAGAGAGGCGCGCTGCGCGGGGACAGAATGGTCCAACGGGTCGGCAAGGAGCACAAGAAAACAGAGTCCGGGACCGAGCAGCCACCGCGAGCCCAGCAGCCAGAGCCCGAGCAGCAGCTTCAGGAGCCGCCACCGCCAGCAACGGGAGCAGCAACAGCGGTGGCTGTCCCGGCCCGGCAGCGCTGAGACCCGCTGGGCACCTTCGGACCTCGCGGCGGCGGCGACCGCTCAGGCGACCCGGGAGGCGCCCAGGCAGCCAGCGCGGCCGGCGGGAGCGGCGGGGATTTGCTGGCGCTTTCTGCAGTGAAGGGGTCGCTGCGGGGCGGGGGGCGGGTAAGGGGGACTTGGGGACCGCGCCGAGCGCCCGGGAAGCGCCGGAAGGACAGGCTAGCTGCTCCGCGCGCCGGCTCTCGCCCTCCCGCGAACTGGATGTGGGCAGCGGTGACCGCAGAGACCTCGGGACCCCTGCGCAATGTGGCAATGGAAGACGCAGGGTCTGAGTCCCCGGCAGCGGCCGCGGCCGCAGCGGCAGCCGCCGTGTGAGCAGAGGCAGCAGCAGCAGCAGCAGCAGCAGGAGAAGCAGCAGCAGCAGGTCTGTCAACCAGAGCCCGAACCCGAGCAGCCCGCGGCCAGCAGTGTCCTCGCGAACCCACAGCCCAGTCGCGCCAGGAGTCCGCAGCAGCAGCAGCAGCAGCAGCGCGCCGGGCCGCCCGGGAAGCCTCGGTCCCCGCGGCGGCGGCGGCAACATGGCCTCGGCTGGTAACGCCGCCGAGTGCCAGGACCGCGGTGGCGGTGGTGGCGGCTGCAGCGGGACCCTGGGCCGGCCGGCTGGCAGCGGGAGGCGCAGACGGACCGGGGGACTGCGCCGCGCCGCTCTGGACCGGGACTATCTGCACCGGCCCAGCTACTGCGACGCCGCCTTCGCTCTGGAGCAGATTTCCAAGGTGCATTTCAGACTCTCCTCCCACTTTCTCTTCCCTCCTCTTCCTTTTGGGATCCACACACACACACACACACACACACACACACACACACGCTCCAGGAAAAGCAGCAGACAAGAGAGGAGTGAAAAATTCAAACCCTCCCTCCGATCCTAGGAGGAAAGGGCTGTCTGAGGTCCGCAGGGGGTGGAGGTGTGCGCGTACACACACACGCACACGCACACGCACGCACACACGCGCCCTCCCTGGCGTGCCTTTTCCGGAGCAGTACACAGGGATCCACACACACACACACACACACACACACACACACGCTCCAGGAAAAGCAGCAGACAAGAGAGGAGTGAAAAATTCAAACCCTCCTCCGATCTAGGAGGAAAGGGTGTCTGAGGTCCGCAGGGGGTGGAGGTGTGCGCGTACACACACACGCACACGCACACGCACGCACACACGCGCCCTCCCTGGCGTGCCTTTTCCGGAGCAGTACACAGTGGACCACCTCGAGGGCGCCCGCGGCACTGCCCTGCGCGCTGCCCCCTGCCCCGGACCTCCCTTCTCCCCGCGCCTCTGCCCCTTCTTTGCAGCCTAAACCTCTGTAATGCTGCCACATTTCTTAGCATCTTGGAGGGGGAGGCGGAGTGGAGAGAGGGAGAGAGAGAGAGGAAGGAAGGAGGGAGCCAAAATAAAGGTGGTTTCCTTTTTTGGCAACCCGTTTGGCTTTTGTTGAGCACCAAATCTCTGCTCCCTTAAAAATTGTCCTCAGCAAAAGACATTCCCTACACACACACCCTCCACCCCAATTTCTTTATCCAGTTTTGGAGCCGTCTCATCTCAAGGCCGGACGCGGAGAGGGACAGTTGTAAACAAATTGCCACCTTAAATCTGCGGTGCGGGTGTGCGGAGCGGCCGGGTTCATTGTGTTTACGAGGCTTGCTGTAATGTGTGGAATCCGGGGAAGCCGAGCAACGCGGACTGGGGCCCGCTGGGGCTGCGGCCAGCGCCAGGGCAACGCCGCAGCCGGGAGCACAGCCTGCGCTGCTCCGGGCCCTTGCCCTGGTGCACTTGGCTGTGTTGTAAGGTTTAACCAGAAGGGAAAGGGGCGAGGAGGGGAAAAGATCCATGTGGCTGCCCTCTTCCGATCACAAATACTGTCGTAAGTTGCAGATGGCTGCCGCACTTCCTAATTCAACTCACACAGCGTCTCCAAACGCTATAGAAATGCATCGGGAGTTGAGTTTGAGCCCCGGCGGGCTGATCGCGCTCACCACGTGGATCCCCACTTCCTAGCACTCCAGGCTGGGGTCCAGATGGAAGAACTCGCAGGATATTGTTCCCAAAAGCGCGCACGCTCCCGTACTCCCTTCCCCCTCTCCCTCCCTAAGCACCCATCCTCGCCGGGGCACCCGGTGAAGGGTGATCATAATGGATGGTTAACGGGAAGAGGGGGTGGATATGGCTCGCTGGTGCTTAACTATTGGGCTCCATCGCTGTCCCCCCCCCTTTTGCTTCCCAGGTGTGGGCTAGAGTGCCTGTTGGCTTTTGCTTTCCCTTCTATATGGCAGCCCCAGCGGCCCCTGTCACACTCTGAAGGATGCTGCGCGTTGGGGGTGGGGTGGGGGGGTCTCCAAGCTGCCGCTCCCACGCTGCAGTCTGACTTTGATTTGTGGCCGGTCCCCCCCGCACCCCCGACGCTGCTCGCGCTCCCTCTGGCCCACCAGGGTTCCATCCAACATCCTCCCCCCCGCCCCAGGGCAAGTCCCTGCGCTGCGACCGCCCACGCCCCCCCTCCCCACGGCTGTCTGTGGGGAGGGGGAAGGGAGGGGGGATCCCCGAGCGGGTGCGCGCGAGCGGGCGTGGGCGCGCGGGCCGCGACTCCCCGGCGTTCACTCCTCCTTTCTGCTTCGTCCCCAGGGGAAGGCTACTGGCCGGAAAGCGCCGCTGTGGCTGAGAGCGAAGTTTCAGAGACTCTTATTTAAACTGGGTTGTTACATTCAAAAAAACTGCGGCAAGTTCTTGGTGGTGGGCCTCCTCATATTTGGCGCCTTCGCTGTGGGATTAAAGGCAGCTAATCTGGAGACCAACGTGGAGGAGCTGTGGGTGGAAGGTAAGCGCTCGCGCGCCCGTCGCTGCAAAGTCCCCTTTCCTTTCCCTTCCTGTCCCTCCCCTTCGATTGATAAAGATATTTGCCGGCATACACCTAGAGCCTCGCCATGGCCAGCGCCACCCCCGCCCGCACCAGGGGGAATTGTTTATTGTTTGGGCGCCTGGCCTGCAGCCAGGCCCGCCCGACAAAGGCCGCGCTGTAATCTACTCGGGGCGCTGCTGCGTTTTGCTAGGTGTTGTGGGAGAGAGTGGCGAGGGCGGGCGGGCGGGGGCGCGGGGCCCCCTCCGTGGGACAGACCACTGCGCACGGCCTGGGGGGGGAGGGGAGGGCCACTGGGGCTGACCACCTCCACCGGGGCCCCGCCTTGGCCTCGCCCAGAGATGCAGCCTCGGGGAAAGCCTGTCCCCACCGTGGCTTCCCGGCTGGGCTTGGTTCCCTCCCCCTCCCCCCCACCCACGGCGTCCCGAGGAGAATGGAGTGGAGGGTGGAGAGCAAGGCCACCCCTCCGGCTGCAGGCAGTGTGCGCGCCCCCGGCCGGGCTGGGGAGGGCGGGGGGCGGGCGCAGCGCGGGCCTGCGGAGGCGGCGGCGTGTGTGGTCCTGTTTTTGGACAGCTTTCAACTCTGGGGAAAAAAACATTTGTCTCAAGGTACAAAAAAAAAAACGGGGGGGTAGGGGGTAGGGTGAGGAGTGGGGGGGAGGGGAGAGGGAAGGAGTTGGAAGAAAAATAGTAAAGCGCAGAGTGGAACGCATGTTTGCAAAGTAGATTATTGCTGCCTTGCGGGTGGGGGCTTTTTAAATGGAGTTATTCTGGGGCAAGGCTGCATTTTGTGGGCAGAAAGAAGCAATGTGCTTTAAGAGCGTGGATTTGATGGGAGGGGCCGCGGGAGCTCTCCGAAGAGTCCTGCCAGTCTTTTTATCTGCGAGCCTCAGTTTAGGGGTTGTAAATTTAAAATAGATTTCTTCCCCTGAGATGAAGACAACTTACATTCTTTTGGTGATACAGGTTTTATTTATTTATTTATTATTTTTCTTCCTTTCTTTTGAATTCGTGTTGGTTGGTTTCCTACTTATCTTTTTTTGTAAAGGAAAGAATCCTGCTGTTTGGAAACATTTTAACCCTTTAAACGCTACTTTGGGCTTTTTTTACAAGGCGTTGGGAGGGCCCCAGAACAACCTAGCGCACTCCTATACTACCAGGTAGGAGACAAAATTTGAAAGCTGAAGGGTTACGGTTCTTTGGTCGCCTTTGAGGATGATCTGGGGAAGACTGATTTCCAGAATATTTTGTTTTGCAAGCTTATAATGGAGTATTTAGTTGCGAAGTGGTAATTAAAATAATAATCCCAATAATTAAGACCAGAAGACATTCCTGTCTTAGGTAGCTTGGTAATTAATACAAGAGCGTTCTTTGGATTGAATCAGTTTCGTGCCTCATCGTCAATGGTAGATGAAAGAAGGGTTTTACTGAACAACTTCTATGTCCCCTAGCAACTCATTTCCTGAGCACCTGTGATGACCCTTTAGCACTGTGCTAAGCAAGCACTGGACGCTGCCCAAATGCTTGCACTCAAAGTACTAGAATAAGATGCACTTGCTCTGGACTTGGGGTCACACATGAAATAGGCTATGAAAATTGAGTTAGGAGGAATGAATCTTGGAGGTGGTGAGGCTGAGAGGGAAGGAGGGAGGATGTTCTAGCAGGTGACACCACCACCAGCAGAGCCCAGGAATGGAGGACATTCATTACCAGTTCCTGAGTGACTTGGAGCACAGGACACAAAGAAACTGGCTGTGGTGCTGGCTGGTGTCATAGGCTCCTCTGTGGTCTTTTTTTCCCTGCCACTTCCTGGGTTATACAACTCAAGACCTAGGAGGAAGAGGAAAAACATGCTTAAGGGGGAGCCCAACTGGTTTAGGGAGACGATGTTAGAGAGTGGAAGGTTTTGGGGGGGGGTTATGTTTTGGTTTGGTTTGGTTTTTCCCCAGCAGACAGGCTAAGGACACAACTGAGACCCAGTGACGTTAGCCGCTGAGTTCCTTTTCGAATTTATGGCTCTGAAAATGCAATCCAGTGCATAGTACCGTACCCCTAAGCTACGCCCCCAGCCCCAGGGCGCTGAGCTTTTACTGGACCCCTTTTCAAATGAGAAATCTTGAGCCATCTACATCTCTTTCCGTGTTCCCTTGCCTACAGGTGACTTCAGTCACTAGGTCTCCTGTGGCCTGGACCTTAATCTGTTCATTCATTCATCCATTCCTTCATTGCTAGATTCTTCTCCTGTAGCAGAAACAAGTTTCAGAAACGCAGGTAAGCCCAAGCTAGGAAGCTGCCACCCTGTTGGATAGCTTTCATCTTAGTTCAAAACCACTGGAGGTCTTGTTGCACCATGAGCTTAATCTTCAGGTCAGCAGCCAGTAGAAGAGTGTGAGCATTCGTTTTCAGGAGTAAGAATTCTCTGCTGTCCTTAGACACCAATGAAGGTCAATGAATGAAAGTAACAGCTCCAAGTCTAGGTTTATTTTGTACTTCTGTCTCTTGGATAAATTCCTCATGACTATCAGCAAAGAAGTCGTTACTGACACTTTCTTAGTTGAGACTGCGCAGATTCTGGCCTTGAACTCGTACAGGGACTGGCTACTTGCTAAACACACAAACCAGATAAAGAGGAGTTCTATATTTCCCTGGTTAAAAAGCAGCAGTGAAGAGGGAAGGCTATGGTGTTGAGAGACAGTTTGGGAAAATGGTGTTTCTCTTGTTTAACACACATCCAGTTCCTTGTGTTTATAGGAGTAGATATGCATACAGGCTTACTCGGAGTTTCCTCATCTCTGCCAAAATTTATCTTTAATACAGCCAGCAAATGAAGGGATCTACCTAATAGCCATCTCTTTGACTTTTCATGTTTTAACATGCTATGGAAATGTGACTTGATCAAGCTAGTCGAACCCATTTGCCACAACGTGTGGTTCAGTGTGTTTTATTTATTTATCTGTACATACCCACATTTACACACGAGTCTGTTAAAATGGCCTTATGATTGCCTTTGAGGAAGCTCGGTTACATGTTAGTTGCTAGCTTGGGTCTTAGGGTTAGACTCTTTGCAGTCACAACCATCAGGTCTAGCTCACTGGCGAAGGACCTGATGAGAGTTGGCAAAATATGGGGGGACATCTGTTACTATGGAAACGTGATGGTGGCAGCAAGGAGAAGGGACAGGTTGACATATTAAAGTAGCAACATCCATTCAGCCCATGTTCTCTGGGCTGCTCTGCACCAGGCACCACCCAGAACACCAGAGAGAGGTTGTTGAAAAGCAACAGACCCTGGTGGGGGGGGTGTTCACCCAGCAGGCACACAGACCTGAATGTGGGTGGTTAACATGCCAGACCACAGTGCTAAGACCACCGGGAAGTGGGCCATGCTTTCCAGGCTGGCCCTGGGGAGGAGGCCTGCGCCAGGCACTGGGGCAGGAGGGGTGGAGGTGAGGGGCATCCCAGGTAGAAAGAATAGCAGTGTGACCTCTGGTACCTCACTCCCTTTGGTGGGGGGTAAGTGAGTTGGAGATGGGAGGCTTAGGTCTGTAATCGAGGAGGAGAGGGCTGCCAGCTCTCCTTGCTTGCTGTTCTTTGCCTGTCCTGTGATTTGTATCTGATCTCCCTTATCATCCCTGGTGCCATCACTGCTTTCGCCTGGGTCTCAGGAGGAACCTGACTTCTTTCTAAACTTGCCCGTTTCTCTGTTGGCATATCTTTTTGGTTGAGCAGACTTATCCTCTTAACCTGCCTATTTCCTTTAATGTAATTCTTCTCCTCCATCCCTCCCTCTGACACAAGTTGGTTGTCAAGCTTGTGCTGTGATAGAATATTCAGTTATCTCTGAGCTTTTTTGGTTTTTTTCCTAAAAGCTTACCCAGCCCCTTGCCTCTCTTCTGCAAAGGATAACAGGCTTAAAATGAATCCATATTGCCTTGGTGTTTGGTTATTAAGCACTGTGAAGACCAGGATCAAGGGAGGAGGATGAGAACTGTATTTTTTTTTTTTTGAAGCGAAATAGAAGAATGTGTTTTAAAAAATACATGCTCAGTATATGTAAGTGCCCTCAAGTTTGTACCTTGACGGCACTAAGCTTTGAGATTCGCCATCCTTTCAGTTTCTTGGCCTTCCCACTGTTGGGGTTTTGGGCTGGATGATCTCTGTGTGAGAGGCTGCCTGTTGTACCCATAAGATGTACCCATCCTTGGCCTCTACCCACTAGATGAATGCCAGTATCACCCTTCTGCCTGTGGCAACCAAAGCTTTTCCTTCATTGCCAGTGCCTCTGGGGAAGGTAGGAGAGTGTGTAAGCTCACTCAGCTGAGTTTAGAGGATAAATAATTGCTACTAGAAGACCCCCGCTGTGCAGATGGAAGAGTCAGGATGGAGGTGGCTGCAAGGCATTGCCATAGGTGCAAAAGGTTTTGGTCTCGAAGGCATCCTTGTCTTTGTGATTTAGAGAACTCAACGGTGAGCTGAGACTTTCAGTCTCACCAGGACTTCAGAAAACTGAACAGAAGCCTACTGAAGTCACAGCTCCTTTTAGGAGCTCATGGTACACTAGCATCTTTGGTCTCATCTCCTCCAGATGTTTCTGTCACAAGCCACTTTTCCCAAGGTGCCCTATGGAGCAGAGCTGAGGGAGGCAGCAAGGGACAGATGGACCCCAGCCAGTTAGGTAGAACTTGGCTCCACGTTTCCCTGCTCTTCTGAAATGGCCTGGTTTCTGCTCGCTTGGACAGTCAGTTTGTGCGCATTTCACAAGGGACAGGCATTACGAGTCTCTGGACCCCCCCCCGTTTTAAACATGAAGAATACATTTATTTTTATCACATTTAGAGAGTGGTGCACACGAGGTGCAAGCTATTGTGGTGTACCTTTCATGTTTGGAGAAAAATCATCGAAAAAGGAAAACCCAGCAATAATTGCTTTAAAAATATAGCTAGCCTCAAGCGTGCTCTACACT